CTTGTGAAGGGTGTCGATGATTGTCTTCTGGACAACTGTCAGATCAGCAGTCTTCCCCATGATTGTGTAGCCTAGTGAACCAAACTGAGTGACCATTTTGAAGGCTCAGGACACCTTTGCAGGTGTTTTGAGTTGACTAGCTGAGTGGCATGTCACCATATTCTAATTTATTGAGATAGTGATTTGGTGGGTTTTTGTTAAATGTGGACCAAAATCATCACAATTAAAAGACCCAACAGCTTAAACTACTTCAGTCTGTGTGTACTGAATTTATATAATACATGAGTTTCACTATTTGAGTTGAATTGCTGAAATAAATGGACTTTTCCACGATATTCTAATTTATTGAGATGCACCTGTACACTTTACCTTATATAAAGCCTCCATGGATTTAAAAATTCATAATACAGAGTGACAGGGGACATTGTTTAAGGTTCAAAGTGTCCTGTCAACAGTTTTACAAATGTCTTTTATCATTGTGGTCTATAGAGAAAATGTTTTAATAATAATAGCTCTAATAATACATTCATATAATAAACATTCTCCAGAGGACCAGATTACACGTATATTGTAAACAGGTATGTTTTTGTCATAAAGTTTAAAGGTGTTGTGGTGTGTTTTTAATCGCACCAATTAGCCCGTATTGGGCTACGTGCTCGTAGATGTTTTGCAGGTCACATCCTGGTTGGAAGTCTCCACCATTAGGGTAAAAGTCATAATGTGCCACAGCTTGCTTGATGCCCACACTGAAGCCCATACGTTCATGGGTGAAGGTGTGGATGACATCCACAAATTCAGCATCATCAGGAGACAGTCTATCTGTGGGAGACATGCCTTCAAACAATGGCCCAGCCGGATCAAGACCTGGACAGACACAATGTGCAATCAAAGGTCAATTTGTTTTAGAATGCAGAATGACTATTCATCCAAAATTATTTTTTGTTGGGCCAGTGATTTTACAGCATGTTCCTGATGAATGATAGCACAACTGTTACATTCACACTGTGGAAAAACCCACCAGTTATTCTTCCAATCTTCTCTGAACCTCCCAGATAGCTTCCAGCAAATCCAGAGGTGTGAGCACCAAGGCTAAAGCCAATCAAATGAGCTTTTCTCACTGGATACTGGTACTGTGCCTATTGGGGATTTTTGACACTTTTTTGGCAACTTTAATATGAAACAAGCATAGTGCTTTTTACTATTTCTTCAATATGAAACTTGACAAATGTAACACACTTGACTTTATTTCATAGGCTACATGAAAAAGTGGAAAATCAGTAGAAAAATGTCTTCTGACCTGAAGTGACTGCAGCAGGTGAGCGATGTCTTTTCCAACAGTGCGTGCACTCTGTACGGCTATGGGGTAGTGTTGGTGAGCCAGGGACAGCCAATCAGTGACCACCACGTTGACGTCTATCAGATTTGCCTTCAGGGCTCTGGCTAATCTGAACACCCAGCTCGACATCATTCCATTCACCTTTGGAAAAACAAGATTATTAGAAATGTGTTGCTGTAGCTTGCTGCTACACCTCTGTTTAACCAGTGGTCCATGCCCCCCCCCACCAGTTGGTCTGCAAAGGAACTGCAGGTGGTCCCTGACCATGCATTCAATGGGTCATGTCGCTTATCTCCACACATTTTCCTCACATCTTACAAGGATGGGACTAAGACACAAGGAAAACACGTAAGTGAGGGAAACAACAATGTTTATAAGAGACTATGAGATGTACCCATTAATGTAGTTTCACTGTAGGAACCGTCTTTTTTAAAAACATATTTCCATGTATTATTTATTGTGTGTCAATAATTCATACAAATATATACACTTTAGAAAAGCCAAGGTGACATTCAAGATTAAAATGATGCCCATTCAGTCTATCACCCCTGTAAAAGAGGTCCTCGGGTTACCTCTTAGTCAGAATGGCAGTCCCTGGATCACAATTAGCTGAAAACCCCCTGCTCTAAAGTTTATTCAGTTTGAAACGGCAAGAGTATACATACACCAAACAGACCCAGCAAGTAAAAATCTGAAATTAAAAAGTCAAAATGCTGAATAAATGTCTGCATGTATACTTCCTTTTTTTTAAATTTCAGAATATTTCAGGCCTTTGAACATTTCCTCTTCAGTAGTCATGATTTGTATGCAGTGGTTCAAATCAGTGAAGTGTAAGGAAAGCGGGAGTTAACCTTACCGACCACCCATGAGTGATGATGATGAGGGGATTACTGCTGTTGAAGCCACAGGAGGTGAGAGTGTGCAGCTGCAGAGGGTCCACTGTGCAGGTGTCCTCACCTTCCAAAAATAGCCTGAAGATTGAACTGCTGACATATGGCTGTTTCACCTTTAGGACTCTTCTCTGCTCTGTGTCCACTACTACTTGAAAGACAAACGGCAGGAGAGTTATCCGTTTGTTCTTCATGATTACTCTGGAAATCAGAACATGCTGAGATACTGAGTGTGTTTACATTGAGGTGAATAGTTAAAAATAACATGAAATTTCATTTTACACTACCAGTCAGAGGTTTGGACACATTCAACGAGACAATGTGAAAACTTTTGATTGGTGGTGTATATTTCCTCTTGTGAGCAGCGGAAACATTTCAGCTCATTTGCTGATACAATTATCTGAAAGTAATTAGGAAGAAATTAGAACAGTCATTTCCTGTTGAGGCCCATTTGAACTGTAGGCCAACTAGCACCCTTTTCGAAGCAGTTTGCCTTGTTTCCGGGTCATAAAGATTTCTCTGGAAGATGCACACAGATAACACTTCACAAAAAGTCATTTTTTAAAATCATCTATAAATAAAAGGCAGTTTTATCACACTTGGGATCATTCAAACATGACCTGTCACTCACCTGTTCTGTTTCCTTTGAGTTTCTTCCCCTCACTGAGGTGACAGGTTAACAGCAAACAGCACAGGATTTTGGCCACAGACATGGCGTCACACAGACACTTTAGTAATTCCTTTAAACTGACACTTCTCCCACAGGTAAGTAGTACAATTTTAAGTAGGCAAAATGCAGGTAATGCAGAGTGAAGGCGATATCCGTGTGTCTGCAGGTATAGAAGCTCTTTTAAAGAAGCTTCATCGCTGCCCTTCAGCTTAAACTCAGAGCGGCAAACATTATACTGTACAGAAAAAGAGGGGAAACTAGGAGAAATGGTTTATAGATCAGGAGAATTTGGTCCTTTTCTGATTGGCTGGGGGCTGGGCTGTGTAGATCAAACACATTATGTAATGAGTATGACTGGGGAGGGGGATGTGGTAGGATGTG